TTTTGTCCCAGGTGTAGAGCAACATCCTTGATAGAGGCAGTGAAGTGTGCATTCTTGTGCTAGATATAAAGGTTGCATTCGACCAGGTTTGGCACAATGGCCTTTGTGTAAAGCTCACGTCAACTGGAAGACTACATATATGGCTCCTGAATTACCTTAAAGGAAGATCAATCAGAGTTGTGCTCTCAGGTCAGTCTTCATCATCATCATGCATGGATGTCCCATCAATGCATCAGTACCTCAGGGATCTGCTCTTGGCTCATTAGTATTCTCCATCTTCATAGATGATGTTGTGGAACAATGTGGGAACAACATGTTGACTCCACCATCTTTGCACCCATAACATTGCAAAATGGGTGGTGACAAACTTAAACAAAAGACCTGAAAAGTGGGCTGATGCCTGGAATGTCACGTTCGAGTCCAGGAAGTGTAAGGAAATGGTCCTGTCAAGAAAGTAAAATCTACCTCTCTTCTTTGGGAGCACTAAAATCAAATTCAGAGAGTAGATGGAAATTCACTACGCAATGACAGAAAACCCTTGCAAAAATCTGCAAATGTGCCTGGATAACATCTTGGAGCTCTGTGGAAGTTGACCAACAAGATTGATCCAGAGCCAATGTCTACAGAACCCAGGTCATCCTGCCCAGCCAGATATCATCCAGGAAAAGGAACTAAAGATCATTGGAGGATGAGGTGGATGAGGTCACTAAAAGATTATGCCATCCAAAAGTGAGCCGTCTTTTCAAGTTGCACACTTCCAACTATCCAGCAGAAATGAAAGCACTTCTACCCTCAGTTCACGTCCCTGGTCGAACTACTCAGAGGTTACCAACAAGCCATGCCTTGTCACTCCCCAGACACCAAATGCCTTGACAGGAGCTTTCTCCATTCTGCTGTAACAACATGGAACAGCCTTCCCCCTGCTGTTTTCTGTGACATTACATCAAGTAGAGTTCAAGCCTTCAAGAAGAGACTGAATAAACACTTTCTCAACATGGGACTGTAATCCTAAAGCTCAAGGACTTAATACATACACAAATCAGGCTCATATATATTCCTGAGTAGCTGCAGATCACTGATTGCTTCTCTGAATTGTGTTCATGAAGCTTCCGCGTAAGCACAAGAAAAAAAGAAAAGGCTAGTTTTATTTAATAAATTCTCACTTTTTACACTGTACTGATCTTTACATACTTACCTAATACAAACTACTAATGCCAACATGAATTTTAGCCGTCAATACCGGGACAATTTTCCCATATAGACTGGTTCAAGAAGAGTGTAAAATATTGTTCTGGTTAATGTGGATCAAAATTCCCTTTATTTATTTTATTGCTTTAAACATGGAGGGACAACACATATTAAGTCAATAAATAAATGTAATGTAAATGTGTTAGATTTAGCCAAGACGCTAGTTTTCATCCACAGTGCCTGGACAGGTTGATACCAATACTAAGTATTTATGCTCACTTTAATACACAGGAGAACAGGAAACTAAACATATTCACATCCAGTTCTGAACTTAAACAAGAACTTTGGATCAGAAATGAATGTTTTGATTGGGTTGGTATATTCTCATAATCATCTACAGTTATTAGTCAAGTATAAAATGACCTGCCAGGGGCGGACATGTTGCTATGGTCAGATTGTATTAGTTATAGTGATATCCGCTGGCAGCCAGCGAGACTGGTGTCATTAGTGAAATACAAGATGACAAGCTGCCATTACGGTGTCCAGTTGTCTGTTGACTGACATTAATTTGACATGTATTCAAACACTGTGCAGTGCAAATTGCTAAAGTGTCATTTTGATGGCAACTGTGGCACAAGCGCTGCGTAATCAACTAAATAAATCATGATTAAATGAGTAGTCTGCACTGAAGGAAGATGGTATGGTAATGAATGGATTTTTAAGTGGCACAACTAAATGACGCACCAAATACCTCTGTAAACCACCTTAGTAATTATCACGTCTGTATTTATGTATAGCACTTTACAATAAAGCCAAAAGGTTTCTTTGTCCTTCAGTTCATATTTATTTGTAAAATAAAGTGTTGATCATTGAAACATTTGACTAGTTAAATATATGACACAAACATTTTATTGACTTATAAGAACACAAATAGTTATCTACAATGACGATGAGTTTTCTAGCCTTACAACAGTTGGAATATAGACCATTTTTTTTGTACAGGAACTGAAAATACAAAGTTACAGTAAACATGCCTTTTGATAAAAATATCTTTACAAAAAAATGTACATTTCTATACAACAGTTGTCACATCTCTACAAGCCCCACGATCCTGGTTAAAACCTGCAACGATTCCAACAAACTGTCAGTATATTGTTTCAGCATTATTTTAAACTTAATAAAAATTTAGTCTCCTTTAGTCTATTGATATTTGAAATAAACATGATAAGGACTATTTACAGGGAAAAATAAAAGTGGTTACTGAGCCAGAAATGTCTAAAAGTGACCCAGATAAAGTACAACAGTTAAAAGCAATTGTTTATGTTTTTTTATAGTATTTTTGCAATTTTTTTGACACATCACCATACTGTGCATTGATTAACAGGTTACCAGCAAAAAAGATTAACATGTAGCAGAGCCATTTTCCTTAGACATGTTTTTGGATACAAAAATAGTGCTAAATATTACACATTATTGTCATTCACCAGACACTTATTTTCAATGAGCTGCAGGACAGATGTTTTATTTTATGTCTTTTTTTCAGCCATCACTGCCAGGGTTGACACTTGTGTTCATGAAATTGTGCAAGGTGACCATTCCTTCACATTGAATTAAATCTCTGTTTAAAAGGTCTGTTCAGCCAAATCACAACAGTAATAATTTCTTACTTACCCCTGGTGATTTGGTTTTATCTGCCCAGGTTTTGTGCTAATAAGATATAATACCAGTGAACAGATTTTCATTTATGGTGTTCAAAACTTTAAACAATTACAAATATTAAACTATAAAACCATCTTCAAATAGAATAGTTAAAACTGTCGGCAGAGGCATGTGTGGATTTCCCAGAGTAAATTGGATATTGTTTCTGAAATGATTTTTTCAAATCCCATTTTTTATGCTTCGAGTGCGCATCTCGTTTACCTTGATTGCCCTGGGGAGGCTACAAGTCTCAGGGGCTGATATCCCAAAGCCTGTGCAAATAAAACCACAATTCCTTGCTTGACTAGACACCACTAGGCTTCAGGAAATGTTTTTTCTTTTGTTTAATTTGGGTGAAACAACCTATTTAACTACCAACAGCACTGAATCAAATGAGTAAACTATTTCATAAATTCAGGATTTCTAATGCTATTCAGTAAGTAAAGAATAAAGTTATTCCAATGACAAGAGGCCTGTTTGCTGTCATGCGGTCACTTCTACTTTTAAAAGAAAACATCCTCGGGAGGAGTTATGACACGCTCACAACTGGACGTTCATGCTTCAGTCTGATTGAAATTTGACACTGAAACAGCGAGTCTCTCCAGCGTCCAGCCAGGCCTCTCATTCAAGAAATATTGACTGTTTATATCACTGCCCAATGCAGTTACACAAGCAGCGGAGAAGTAGAGATGTCCCTTGGCTGCAGTGAGTGCAAGGATAACCCTGTGGTGTAAAATGATAAATAAATCTAACTTGTACCTTGAACGAGGGCAATGAAATTAAAGCGTTTGATAAGAAGCTGTTTGCTAGCTCCCGCAGTTTATGCTTACAACCTTGTTTATGCTATTTTCTCTCACTTGCTTTTCACCATACAGTGTGAGTGAATATTGTCTGGTGAAATCCTGTCTGACTGCACCTTTAGCAGTGTTAGCAACTGCAGCTAATACCAGGTGTGTCAGCTGATTGCTCAGAATTATGACTTACATCAGCACTATTAAACCTGTTTAAATAGTGGTCAAAAAGCTTTTTTAAAAAGGACATAAGTTGTTGGCATAATGTTGGCTAATACACATCATCAGCCTAATTGATGCTACTGACCAATCAGCTGACACACTTGCTGCATAACAGCTGTAGATCCCCACACCTACCTCCTTCTGAGAATGGCTTTAAAGTAAAACTTAAAGCTTGAGACAACAAACATGCCTATGTCACATCCTTGTTTGGGGTAAATTTGTTTGTTTTGCACACTGGGGAAAATGGGCAAACATTATGTGAATAATTAACAGTAGAACACGCTGATATCCAGACACAATTCACTTTGCGGCAATTTATTTAAAATGAGGTTAATAATAAATCACTCAGCAGAAGCTCAAGCTGCATTTAAATTTTCTGAATGTTAGCAGCTCCATATGGCGGCAATATAACAGACTAATCTGAACTTGTAGCAATCATGTACATCATGTTAGTACACTGCACCAAATGAGTGCAATCATCTAATGCTGGGATGCTCTGCTTTGTGTCTGACCACAGTTTATACTTCACTTTAATTGGCATTTTATTAAATGATTAATGGAATACTGTTTGTATTGTCTCACCACTTACTTTGCTTGTTTTAAGGCAGTACTGGACATTGTGTCACCTTAGATTTTTCCATATTTATTCAGAAATGTAAGCGATCTGGATCACACACTTAGATAAAATCAAAGCCTCTCAATACATAACATACAACTTCCACTGTTTCCAAAAAAACTTGCCTTGCTCCCTTGCCTGCATAAGACAGAATCGATGCAGGATGCAGAGGGATGTAGAAGAGGAGAAGGAGAAAGGGCGTTGGCTCCTGAACAGCAGCAGTCCATGTTGGGATGCACAAGCTGAGCAGGGAGCAGCGCATTCAGACGTTGGGGCACTGCTCCCTGGCAGGAGGCCTGTGCCAGTGTTGGCTCTCTACCACAGGAAGCTCTTTCTGCTTCTGAAACTTGGCAGGAGTAGGAATATATGATGGAACAGCCCCACAGGGCATGTGTGTGATAAATGGATAAAGCTGGATAAAGTTATGCTCACAGCTATTGGCTTATGTATGAGTCAAATCCAAACCAGACAGCACCGATGTTTCATTCATTTTCTGAAAACCATACTGCTGTCGCATGGTTTTGCTGAGTGTCATTTATTCATTTGATGTTTGAGCAAAAACATAAATTCATTGAAAAACAGCGCAAACACATTTCATAAAAAGCAGCAACAATTTGATCATCAACAACATGTTCCCTTCTTTTCACGTAATTTAATTTATAAATCAGAATAAAAAAACATTCATTTACTTCCTTTTCCGTTTTATTTTTTTCAGGAACAGGAGTAGCGCATGATACTGTCAGCCTCTTGCAATGAAATATAAATTGCACAGAGAAACCAATGATGAAAACTCAGGCCAATGCATTAAAATAGGTCTTGGATACATTTTCTTTAGAGAGCGCATCACATTTGGTTTGCGCTGCACAGTTGGGCATCTAAATGTAATTCAGCAGCTCTTGAACGCAACTTACAGTCCAGAATGGGTGTCTTGATCCTTCAGAGAACCATATTCTGTCTCTCCAAGGTGATGATGAATTCTAATACCAGTGACTCGGGATTTCTGCTGCCTCATCCTGAAGTGATAAAGGAGAAAACTGATGAAAACACATTATAGGACTGTTGTCTCCTCCTCAAATATGGTGGCTATTTATAATGCTGTAAATCTGACGAGGATTAGGCTGAGTTTTAAAGCTTGTGTGTTTTGAATGGCCTCAGAAATATCTTGGGAAGTGCAGAAATATTTGCTGGTAGCTGGAGCTGCCTCCCTAATCCTTCTGGACATGACTTATTGAGGTTCTTCTCACAGTGATTTTCTATCCTTGGTAGGCCCGCAAGCAAAACATTCACATGTCCACAACAACCTCAAGTGGGATTTTTAGGTTTTTAAATGTATGTGCTGTGAGGAGGTTTTGTGAATCCTCTACTGATAGAATTTTTAAAACGGCAGACATATGGAGAGGAAATGGAAAACTGCAGTGTAACATGTGGTCTCTTAAGAGGTGGATTGAACTGGGACATCAGATGCCCGGATGGACAGATGGACAGATGTGCGGCATTAGCTATGAACATTTTTGCTAGTTCGTACAGTACATTTTTTTTCATAGCGGTATTCATTTTAAAAGATTATTCCAATTTGAGTAAGTGAATAAAAACAAACTGTAGCATTAAAGAAGAAAGAATCACTGGTTTTATTATAAGCCTCATTCATTTTATTATCAGCCTCACTCAACAATAACTAATCTGATTAGTGCAACAGGTCAATACTTCAAGTCGGCTATCTTCAGTGTTTATAGGTTATTGGTAAGTGCTGAAGTGCTGTCAACCACTTAAATCTTCTTCTGGTTTGCTCCCGGAGTTTAGCATTTTTTAGCAAAAACAATTTGACATTTTGGGAAATACGCTTATTGGCTTTTTACAGATTAAACATGATGTGTTTTTAGTGAGCTTTGCTAGTAAACAGATTTTCTCACCTTTGCACAGAATCAAGGTAGCTGTTTCTCCCTGTTTCTAGTCTTTATGCTAAGCTAAGCTAAGCTAAGCTAACTATCTACTGGCTCTAACTTCATACAGTATTTAGTTACAGACTTGACAGTGATATTGATTTTATAATCTAACTCGCGACCGAAAAGCGAATAAGCATATTTCCTGAAATGTCTTACTGTTGGTTCAAGCTAAACCTCAACAGTGAAGAGTATTTCAGTAAACAAGCAAGTGAATCCAGCTTCTAAACAATCAAGATGCATTTGCATGCAATAATACCAGCTACTTTTAAGCTGCCAGAGTTTAGGAATGAATGGGTCCGTAACCACTAGGAGTGACATTTTATGTGTATGATTTGTATCTGGCTTCACTTTTGGCTGTGTCGTCAATATAAAAAAACAACTTAAAAGCCATAATCATTAAAAAAGCATGAAGACTTAAATGTCACTGGTGAAAACATGACTAGAATGTCTTTCTTTTTGCTGATGAAAACTAACAATCAAATGACCAAATTTCTGTCAAAAAGACTACTGTTATTACTCAAAACCAGGTGCCGAAATGAACACTGCTTTACAGTCTCTAATGGACAGTCACTTATTGGATTTTCCTTTGCTCACCAAGCAGAAGCAAAAGAAGACTGTAACAGAGATTAACTCAATGTTACATCAACAATCTGCGACTCATAAACACAGCTAAGCATCCCCGCTGTGAGGAGCCAGCCAGCACTGAGCCAACTGATGATGTGGCTGCATCATTACCCACACCCTTAGATGCGAGAGGCAGGAAACTCTTTACCTTGGGCCTCGCCATTCAGACCCCCTTCCACACAATTCAATTAGATGAATGTTGTTTATGGGCAGTTCTGGCCCATTGGAATGCCATTTTTGCTCCCTCTGTTGAATTCGGCATTAGCTGCCCTTCAGTGGAGCTGGTCTTCCAAATGTCAAAGAGCTTATGACTGAGGAGATGATTAACGGATGTTTAGAGATGCTCAAGGCACAGTTCAGTGGTTACAGCTTTTAATGAGGACCCGGTGTAAGGCCTTTAATGAGGACTGGCTGCAAGAGCCTCCAGGACCTTTAGCAATCTTGTAGAACAACCTCACAGCTGCTGTAATGGACACTTGAATTAAGCAGATATCCAAAGCTCTTACCTGGTCTCAGTTGTCAATATCCGATACATGGTTCTCTATCTGAAAAGGAGAGAGAGGAAGCTCAAATCAAGGATACAGTGTAGAATTTTAATCTGAGCACATAGGTTGTATTGAATCTTTTCTAAAGGTCATCGCTGATACACGCTCGACGAGAACAGCCACGGCAACCTGCCGAACGGTCTTTGTGGTACATGATCACCATCTGCGATCAATGTGACCTTGAGGAAACAAATAAATCTCTTCCACCACGTCTCTGAAAAATAATGTCTTCTATTAGCGAGAGCAGCAAGCTTTCATCAAGGATAGCACGCCTATGCTCACCTGGTTAATGGCTAAATATAGCATAATAGAGAGGTCAAAAGCTTGGCCACATTGCATGGCTGAACCCAGATGAAACCAATTACTTTGATGTCAATGGTTGAAAATGAAAAACTGTGCGGTGGGAAATATAACAGAGCGGCCATATGGTTTACTTAATACTTCTGCAAAATTATGGGAAATAATGTTTTAATTGCTGTTCAAAATGGAGGAAAGTTAAAGGGCACAAACATTTGAACACAGCAGTGAAAAGAAGACATAATTACATATTTTATTTTAAATGCTTCAATGAGATTCAGTTTTTAATATGCAAAGCACAAAAAGGATGAAAACCATTCCTTTCAATGAAAATCAATTAGGATGCCAATGTGCCATTTCTGACCTGAGCGCCTTCATCAGACACCAATTTGTTTATAAAGTATAAAATCTTTCCGCCAATTTTCCCATTGAAAACATGGTTATGGGTCATGTGGGATTTCTTTTAAATGGACATTGTCTAGATAGATATCCACAGATCAGCCTTTTTTCTAGCAGTTTCTTTACTTATGCTACTTCTTCAGTGACCTTGTGAAGAAAAAGCTCTTCATTCTTTTCTACATCCACCACTTCACGGTCAGATCCACACCAGTCCACGCTGGTCCCATCTTGAGTCCTCTGCTATAATTATAGCCTGTAAGTATGTGTGAGCCTGTGCCTGTGTGTGGGCCTGTGAAGAGCCTTTCTTCTACTGTTTGAGCCGGGGTCGACAGGGAGAAACTGTCAGTCCAGGCGCCCTCACCATTCACTCATGTGAAGCCCCGCTCTCTCAGATCTGTGGCCATGAATAATTCTGGAAAATTAACTTTCAGAAGGCGAACATTGTCTGCCCACTTGAGATCTCCCAAAGTGCCTGGCTCTCTCTCTCTCCCTCCCTGTCAGCCCTGTCAACTGTTTCTCTTACCAGATGGTGGCTGCCCTCCTCATCGTAGTCGTCCTCGCCTCCATCGGTCATCTCTCCCGCCTCCACGTCTAGCGCTCCCTCGCCAGCCTCCTCCCCCGAGTTTTCGGCCGTCTCTGACACAGACTCCTCATGCAGGGAGTCGCAGTTGTCCTCGTACTTTCTCTGGGCCTCTGAGTGAAAAAGGAGGGCACAGAGATTGCACTCAAGAGTGTGATCACACATCGCATAGTGGTAGAAGAGTTTCTTTGACTGGCCTTTTCTCTTTTCAAACTCAGAAACAAAGCAAAGTGCTGCCACCACTAGTGAGGCTGCACTGCTCGATACACGTCTAGAAGTGACCTAGTAACATACACCATGTCAACACCAAACACTTTGTACGCTACCGTCGTCCATAGAACAGAACAGACACACTCATTTTAAACAATGCAGCTGTATACACCAGGTGCACAAATTCTTGTATTTAACTCAAGCTTTACAAATGTAACCGCAACCAGAAGCTTCTATTCTTAGCTTTCCACTTAACCCAGGTGAGTACATGACTACATTAAGTGAGTGAGTGAGTGTAGACACTGATGGAGGACTGCAGCTGTGCTGCTTTCGCTGTGTAGGCAAGGTGTTAGCGCTCTATGCTAAGCAAGGCTAAAATGTCTGGATACACTAAATGCTCTTGTAAAACTCAACATATATAACTTGAGACATTTGGGTGTCATGCTAATGTTCTACTTGACACACTGTACCAAATTTCTTTTAAATGTTTTATTTGATTTTAAATTTCATTTTTAGATACCACACATTGTTGTTGAACAATGTATACTGTATTTTCCTGAAGAACACAAATAAATTAGCAACCTTGGTGTCATCTTTGAAGTCAAAGTTTAAGATAAACACATTAAATCTATGGTTCAATCATGTTTTCTGCATCTTAGAAAGAGTGGACCATTACTCTCCAAAAACCTAGAAATTGTTATTCACACCTTTGTCATTCTCTTTGCTCTCTGGCATCTGCAAACAAAACTTAGCCGCCTGGGCTTTTAACTGAACCAAAAAGACCAAATTCCATAAATTCTGTCATCCCTGCACTGGCTACCTGTTTTTCGAATTGATTACAAAGTCTCACTGGTACCTTTAAAGCCCTGAGGGACACAGACCCAAGTTATATTCAAATACAGATGGGAGAGACCAAAACATCTCAAGGACAATTTAAAAGCCCAAGAAGTTAAAATCTTTATGGTAAATTACCTTGTTAACTGGCTCTTTTACCACATTTTGGCCCTTACATTTTAAATATTTCTGCATCCCACCACCTGCTAACTGTTTAAACAAACATTTCCTTCTGAGCAGAAAACCTTCATCATTGTTAGCTCTACAGTCTAGTTTAGTTTTCATTCTCACTCAAATCACACAACAGTTTGCCTGGAGGATGACCAAAACATGGTGTGATTTATTTGGTGTCCAACTGTCATGGAGTTAAAAGATAAAATGCTTCAGAGTTTGAAGAAAACATTGCAAACATGCACAATGCAACATGAAGTCTGAATGACCTTCACAGTGAGCTGCACTCCGAGACTGTCCTGTAGTGTAAGGCATCTATAAAGACCTCTCATATAAACTGAGTCAGCGTGGCGTTGACATCTGTCTATGTTATGATGGAGAGCTCTACTGCTCTTATCTCCCACAATGTCACTAAGACTTATGGCCAGCGTGTGTGCCCTTAATTTCCCTTCCTCCGTGGTTGGTTGTCCTTTTCCCTTTTTTCTCCCAGCTAGCTTTTGTTCTGCTTCTCACCAGACTCGGCTCTCTGCTGCTTCTCGATCTTCTCCAAGCGTCCCAGCAAAGAGTCGATCTTCATCTTGATCTGAGTCAGCTCCCGTTTAATAGTCTGAAGCTGGTCCGTCTTCACTGCTGAGGAACAGAAAGAGATTCATTTATAGCTACTTCAAGTTGGGTTTATTTTGTCCTAATTTCATTTGTACACTCATTTTAACGATGCCGCTTCATAAAGTTTATCACAGACTGCATGCTGTCATCTGTTAATACTTTTAGTTTTTAGTTTTGGATATCATATCATCACTCTGAGTCACACTTTCCTCAGGGAAGAACATCTCGAGCTGGCCAACAGTAAAGTTATCCTGCTGAAACTGTGGACCTGCTGCTTTCAATTTGAAGATTAGTGCATGGCTTACGCCCACCATGCTGTGCAGTGCTGCTCAAGTTTTGCTCAATAATGCCAGTATTTGAACAAGCTGTATGTTATCTTTCAGTTGGCATTACATGATTATATAAAACATGGGGAGTGTTTACACTTTAAGACAGTATCTGATTGGTGCATATTATAAATGGCAGCTTTGTGTCTTCAGGTTTTAAGCCTTAATCCTGCATCCCCCTTTTTTGCAATCGCCATTAAATGTATAAATGTACATTCTATTGGTACCTCTCTACAGTATAAAGTAATTTTCATTGTCTTTGGCGGAGTCTGCCATTCCCGTGTGATGTGAAAATTGCCTTCACATGCATGAGGGATTAACAGGAAATTATGCAGTATGTTAGTCCAGCATTACGGTTTCAATTAATATCAGCCTCACGCTTTACTGTTCATTCTCCTATAGCCATATTAGAGCTGTGTTTAGTCATTGTAAAGCAAATTGATCAAGTCCTACTATTGCTGCTTCACAAAATAATCCAACAGGAGAAACACAAGAGTGGTTTTCATTTTAAATTGAAATCTTTATTTCGAACATGCAAGAGAAAGTATAAAAAAATAAAACAAAAAAAATAGGAGAAAAAAAAACAACAGATGAGCAGCAAAAGTACCCTACTTTCCTGTGTTAACATACTTTTATCACATGTGCGAAAAGGAGTAGGAAGAAGTAAAACTTATGTACTCCTACCCCTTTAATTCTTACATACCTTGAATTAACAATTTTTATATATATATATATATATATATATTATATATACACACACACACACACACTTTATGTACACAATAATAGTGACCACTGACAAGTATTTATTTATCTAACCTCGATTATGTACTTTTTCAAACAGCAAAAAATACAACAAAAACCCCATACAAACAAACGAAACAAAAACAAAGGAGCACTCCTACTTTTACTACAGTGCTTCTCGATACCTCTTGAAAATAATTTCTTTGTAAATTTTTTTGAAAAGGAATATGTTTGGGCATTGCATTAGGTTCTCATTTAGTTTATCCCACAATTTAACTCCGCAAATTGATAAACATCATCTTTTCCTTGTTGTTCTAAATCTATTAGTCTTAAAATTTCCCCTTCCCCGTAAATCGTACCCTCCCTCCCTCCCTCCCTCCCTCTCAGAGAACTTCTTTTGTATATTCCCAGGCAGTAGTTTATTTCTTGCTTTGAACATGAATACTGCAGTTTGATATTCAATTAGATCACGGTATTTTAGCAATTTAGACTGTAGAAACAATGAATTTGTGTGATCCCGAAATCCAACGTTCTGAATGATTCTCATGGCTCTTTTTTGCATTATGACTAGTGGCTGTAGTGAATGTTGATAAGTGCTTCCCTAAACCTCTACACAGTAATTCAAATAAGGTAACAATAGTGAACAGTACAGTATGTGAAGTGATTTAAGACCCAGAATGTGCTCAGCTCTTGCTAGGACTGCAATAAAGCAGTCACAGGAATGTATTTGTATCTTCGGTGATAAATCAGTCGCTCTTCTGTATTTCTGATAAAGTAGCTGCTCATGGACAGACCAGAAATCACAGGTGTCACACGGTATGGTTATTATTCTATAGGCAAGCATACAATCTAAAACATGTTTCCAAATATAAATTAATATTTCCCTTGTTTAAAAATATCTTTGCAGACTTTTACAGAATAGCCGTACTTTCGGGAAAAGTATAGAAAATTGACAGCTGCTTATGAACTTAATGCCAAATTCAATTCTCAGAATATGTTATAAAATTGCATAAAATAAATCATTATCAAACTGTGTAACACAGAGAACACAACTGTCCAAACAGCAAATTTCAACATAGCATAGGGAGTATAGTAAAAGGAACTTAAGCTGTGAAATGTTCAAATGATTCTTTAGCAGATGAAAAGCACCTCATCCCTGAAATATCCACATTTTATTATTTGTTTGAAGTCGAAATGTGAATAACCATTGGCATGTATTGAACATGATGCAAAACAGCGCTTTTGTCTTTTAATCCAGAATAGTAAAAAAAGATTTAAATTTTATTTTAAGGCTTAAGACTTGTGTTTAGAACACTAAGATGTATTAAAAAAAAACAAACATACCATTGTGTTTCAATTGCATTCTGACATTTTATACACTCACTGCAACTTTGTCTGATCATTGCCTCACTAACAATTCCGCATGAGAAACAAGGGGCACAATTTGCCCTCCTACGGCTTCTGTTTACTGCCTCATGAATAATTGCTCTCCCCTTCCTGCTTTGCTTTGGGTCTTACACTCAGTGTTCACTCTACAATACATTTCTCAGCTTTGGGTAAATTAAGTGTAAGCGTATCATGTCAAAGTTTGAGTCTTAACCTTGATATGTCATATTGAAATAACATCTGCTGGAAAAAAAGAACATCTAAAAAAAGGACGTCACCATTAATTCAATGTGGCCCGTCTCACGGTTGCTGAAACGTGTACTCCTTAGCAGCTTGAACTGAGCAGATTAAAAAATTTAGACTATAAAGTAATAAGATAATCTTATTCCTTAACCCTCGGCAGCTGAAATGTGTCATCTTTTTGAGAGGAGGGGGGAAAACAGGCACCAGAAGTTGAGGAGAAAACATAAAATTCTCTTTGACACCTATCAGATTTTGTCAGGGCTGGAAAGAGGATGGATGAGTGCTCGGTAAACAAACCCACGAATTCCTGTAAAGCTTGAGCCGGAAAATCAGAGGCAGGAGACACGTACAGAATCAAAACATTACTTGTCTGGTATCATGTCTGCATGAGGCTCTTTAAGTTAGTTTCTTTGATGCATATTTACACCCACGCCACATCACAATGCAGAGCCCGTCCTACAGAAAGCCTGTGGACTATTATGTATGTATGAGCATAAAAACATGCAGAAATTATAACGATCTACGGCCAGAGAAGATGTCAGCGCCTGATAGAAAAATTCTCACTTATTAGCTAGATTCATTAAAAGACGATATTTTAATCTTTCGCTAGCATTCATGCTAAAAAACAACACATGCTGCCCAGGTAAGATCCAATGCATTCTGTGTTGTATTTGTTAATACTGCATCCAAATGGAGCAGGATGATTAGGTATGCATGAGAAAGAGAGAGAAAAGGGGTGTAATAATGCCAGAAGGAAATGTGTGTGGAAATCACAAGAGTGAATCTCATGTTGTTGTGTAAAGCAGCCATCGACCCTTAAGTTACAGAGAAGCAGGAAATCGACCTTACTGCGGGGGGGGTATAAAGGATATCTCGATGGTGGGACACGCTGAAGTGTTTTTATCTCCTTCGCAGTATCACCTGCTTCCAATGTGTACAGGCCAACATCCATGAATGTGCACACCTCTACGCTCACTTCCTTATTCTAACATTATCTGAGCTCGCTCTGGCCAGCTTACTAGTCGTCCTTTGATGATAAGAAAGTGTTGAACAGTTTCTAATTTATCGCCGCCTCCAGGCCTTTTTTCCTTTTGTGCTGTCAGTCACATGAGCTGCGGAGAGAAAACATACACATCCTAATCCAACATCGTTTCATCAACGCAGCATCTTGAAATAACCCGGGCTAAAAAAAAGAGAGAGGGTAAAAAAAGCCATTGTTATTTAATAAGCATTAGGAAAGATTTAGGGATGAGTAATGGATCTAATTTTAGGACCTAATGATGAACTGCAAAAATTATATCTTGCGGATAGTGAGAATCTCTTGAATCACTGGTCTGTGTAGATTAAACCAGACAAAAAGGTTTGGGGCTGGTGACGCCGATGTAAAAAAAAGTTACCAGCTGACATACAAACATTAGTGGCATTCTGTGAGCCAGGTTTTTAAAGACACAATGGAAGAAGCCTGATTTTAAAACTATTTTTAATACTTGGTCATGCACTGATGTACGCCTACATTACAAAAGACACCTGTACATGATGTGTCTTGTGTGTTTTATATTATTATATGGATACTGTTTTAAACCCCTTAACAAGCAGCACCCAGAATCCAAGCACTTGTTACATGATTTAGGATGGCATCCTGGTAAATTCCCAACTTTACATCGTTTGAACACCTCATGATTCTATCAGTATAAACCATTTTGAGATCCTAATATCAGTGTAAACTTTTTTAAATTAACATATTCACATTAAAAGCTGAAACCAGTGGTCTATTATTTTGTCTAATCATTACAGCTCTAGTTCAGTATCACAAGACCAATTCTGACTTTTTGACAGTGAATAAAAACTACTTTATTTTGAACATATCAGTTTTGAGCTTGTAAAAAAAAGGATGCTTGTTAAAGGGTTAATCATTTTACATTTAATTTTTTAATTAGATATTTTGACAGCGGAGTAAAAGAAAAAGAAAACACTGAGAAGGCGTACTACCCATCTTGCACACCCTACATTCAACATGTGGCTCTTAAGAAAGGGGTCAAATGGTTTATTACGATTGTGTCCCATTCCCATTGCAGCCTGTGAATTCACAAAATACAGCATAAATTAAAGATTCATTCATCATTCACAGTCTTTATTCAATAGAAAGAACTGCCCTTGTCATGTGTCAAAGTGACAATCAACAATGTGTGTCAAAGAGGGTTTAATGTGAACAACACAAATCTATCCATCCTCATGATGCTGTTTCTTTTTCTCCCTCAAGTGACTGATTACTTGTACAGCCCAAGTGGTTCAAACTGCCCACGCTAAACCACCGTGTTGTTCGGACAAGCTAACCGTATTTTGCTGTCCAATCTATCTAGGCCAAATTCAAAGCAAACAGTGATTTTTCACAGCACTGGCAGGGGCAAATTAGTCTCCCAAACGTACAGCAGCACTGCTTAGACAGAGGAGAGAATTCATTGACTCTGTCCAAAAAGAGGATGGAAGATGGGCTGTCTTTTTTTCCCCTTTCTCTATAACACCAACTGCAACTGGGTCCTCCTGACAGACCTTACCAAGCTGCTCGCGCTGATAACAGCGGCCTAGACAGGCAACAATGAAACAAACACTGTAGCCAATTACACAGGCTACAGATAGAGACTTAACATTTAGCAAAATACAGCTGACCACAGCTCCACAGAGATGGCCCCAATCTCACATTAATTATATTTAAGAGGTTATAATGCATCACCAGTTAATCAGAAGACCAAATGAGATCCAGATGGATCCTGGGTGACAGGAATAGCACTGTTTACTGTCTGAGTGCTGCTCGCAAAGCTCGGATTATATTTGTGTTTGCGATTTAGTGTTTTGCTCTACATTGCAATGTGGCTTGTTCTGAGCTGCTGGAGTGAGTTAAATAGCTTTTTGCAGTGGCACAGCGCAAGTAGTGCAGCTGAATCATGCCACCGTCTTTTTCTCTCAGAGCAATGGTTTTGAGATTTGCATTAAGCCTTCGGTTCTTTGAAAAGGACAGCACGCCATTAGCGTAATTAGGCAGTGCTCTTTTGAAAAATAAAAATGGAAACAAAGTAAAAAAATCTGGCTAGTCCAGTGTGAACACAAGTAAAAAAGCTCCTTATTGTACGTACGTTTGAGCCCGGAGGAGGAGGAGGATGTGGGAGGTCTGGAGGATGAAGAGGAGGAAGAGGAGGATGTTTTGACGGGGAAGGAGGTCTTCCCACGGCGGGAGGATGGAGCGAGCACCCTGGAGCGTTTCAGGGGGATCACGGCTCTGGGTGGGGGGGCCACTCTGCCATGGTAGTCAAACAGCCTCAAGAAAGGAAAAACCCATAAAATTACACTTCACTTCTTACACTGTTTCTAGTCTGTCTTTTCTAAGAGGCCCTATAGCATTCAGAAAGAGTCCATCTACTAGAGCTAAAAGTTTTTTTCCACTTATTTCACCATCACTTCTTTCTAAAGCCTATTATCTGTTCCCAGTATTGTATTTCAAGATAAGATTTTCTATGAATTTCTCTTGGGTCCTTTCTCTCAAATGGCACACATCAAACAAAAAGGTAGACATTGCAGTTCAAATCTAACAATATCCCTCTTTCTGTACATCTATCCGGGCCAATAAATGCATGCAAATAATCCCTTCGTGTATATTTGTGGGAAGAAGATGAAAAGAAGAGGGTGCTAAATGTCAAATGAAGGTGTCAGCTATGACTGTTCTCAGTGACAGCAGACGTCTGTCACGGCTCTCAACAAGTTGACATTTAGAAAATGTCTTCGCAGAAATGCACTCTGATCATTGGCGGATAAATGAGAGAGAAAACAAGTGTTCCTTCATCAGCATGTTTGAGTTGCATGCTTGATCTGTTCAGACATTTTGACAAGTTGACTATTTGAGGGTGCCTCTGTGGGAAGTAGTGAATTACATCTGACAAGAGAAACTTTTAATGAGGAGGAGTCATAAAATCTAAAGGTAAGCCCTATTGACTGTTTGCTAAACCTCTACCCTGAATCATGATTGTCCAATTCGTAACTAGGCACACCAGGTCTGTTAAGCACTGGATTTCTCCACATTACTAACATCCTGAAAGGCTGTTACAGTTTGAAAAAAAAAAGGACAAAAATGAGACACAAAGTATGACATAGAAAGTAAGTTATATCATACAACCCAAACAGGATTATGTTTGGGTTGTATATTCTTATCATACCTACAATACTGGGACTAATTAGTTCCACACTGCAAAACAAGAATAGTGCTTTTTCTTCTTATTTGTGTCTCCAACATGGTGAGGATGCTAACTTTTGGCCTTGAACAACAGCAAAAAACGATTTATGTAGTTGTCAAATGCATAGTTAGGATCTAGGGCTGTCCCCGACTAAGGATTTACATAGTCCAATCAGAATCGTCAAGTCCTGCCTATAGTCGACTGATAGTCGAATCATGTGTTTTTGTGCACGCCGATTGCAAGCTGAAGCTAAACTGAGGCTTATTAGGTATTGAGGCTAAAGTCAATTGCGCTGTGCCGGCAAGCAAAAGTTCTTCTTATTTTATTACTCAACGAATTGATGAAATAATGAACTAAAATCATTGTTAGCTGCAGCCCTAATGTGAATGATACATACCTGCTGTAGAAGTCGTCCCTGTAGTACTCGTAATCAAATTCATAACCACTACAAACAGAGAGATGGAAGGGGGAGGAGGATGGCAGGGAGAAAGAGATAAAGAAAGGGATGGGTTTTATTAAGGGGAGACATTTTGGATCTGTCAAAAGTAAGCAGATCAAACTCAAGCTGTTTTGACTCAAATGGACATGCTCCAGTTTATGCCTAAAGCTCAGAGCAGGTTAAGCAGCAAGCCTAAGCCATGCTGGCATGCAAAAACCACACATCAACAACAACAAAAAGTGATATACAGTCAGAGAATGAAAGAAAAATCTTTTCTTAGACCCTGGAGGGGAAAATCCATGTTTAGTACCCACTCACAATGGCTAATTTAGAATTCAGAGAAATAAAATAAAAAGAAGAAGTGCAAAGAAGGAGCTGTTTTGAAATGTTGCTATTCTCACAGGAATTTTAAATAGGATTAATGCATTATTATTTCAATTTAGAGTTGTGTAGTGTTGGTTTTTGCCTCTCCTGCGCCTGTTCCCTAATTACCACATTAGGCTGTTTTCAGCTGCAGCTATAAAATGCAAATGAGGGTTTATAATAACACAATACACAAACTAATAAATTAGTAAAATAAGATGTGCAATGCAACAAACCAACAATTCAGGAAGGTGGAAATTGGAGGGAATAGTACAGAGTACACAGAAAACGTGTCCCGTTGAATAGAAAAAACATGTCTGCCTCACATTAGACTGCAGTAAACAAGCACTGCTTTGATCTGTTTGTGACCAGGAGATGTGTACGGGGCAGAAAATCAGGGTCACGCTTAATGAAGCTTATACAACAGCACCTCCTTTGAGCTTTACAGGCCCGTGCTGAACAAACTACGGTCAAGGCTTGGAAATGTGAAGTGCCTTAAAAACTCAATTAAAAATTCAAGGTTCAAAATTAACAAAAATGTACATATTAGGAATCCTGATACATGAAATATTACTCCACATTTACATCAGTGGGAGGAGCAGGATGTGAAAGATATTTCTGGCAAGAGCTGCACATTTGCATGTCAGGAAGTATGTTGTAGAGAGGGTAAATCTTACCTATAAACAGCTGAGAGTGGCCGTTTGGAGCCTGCTTTAGGCCTGTATGGCTTTGGCTCGCCTGCCATGTTTATGTCTGCAAAAATACACAAACAGACAGGGAATTGATTGACAGTCATTTGTGTACTGCAGTGAGCAGCCTTTACGTAAATCATGCATACCCATATACCGTGTGTACCTGAGGTACCCACATACTGCTGATGCGACATCAGCGGATGACGGGATAATAATCAAGTGGAACCACTCTCACACTGTGTATAACAGACAGTTGGTAACGAGACTGATAACGTTACTGGCAAAGTGAGGCATCGCCAACAACAGCACAATTTGATGGTTTTCTTTAAAAAACAAAGAAAGGAGACGTGAGTTGGTTGATGCATAGGGAGTACGAAAGGCGTGTATTTTGAGTTACAGTGAGATGCTCTAATCATAATGTATTCCTCATAATAAAGATTACTAGATACCACTGGACTTGAACTCAAAATCTAACACATTTATTGTTAAAACTATTTGCAGTGTATGACTCCTTTTTTCCCCTTGGGGGAGGCAGCCTGGACCCACCACTTTGCTGTCAAAATTTCCCCACTTGTGGGTGTATTGGGGTTGACCCAGGGTATGAACGTCAGTAGCAAATAAGACTGGGAATCTGATCAAATTCACGATTTATAAATTAATTAGAGTACAGCTAGGCCTGTTCTTTGATGGTGTGGGTGTTTACTACGCTATGTTTCTGTTATGGTAAAGCCCTTCTAGTGTCAGTGGACAAAGTAAAACTCACATAAGCACCGCTGCTTGAAAAGGAGAAGTGTGTCGAAAGTGAAACAACAAAATCCTCACACAGAGTGACGGCTCATGATGGAAATGATGGTACCGCATATAGCTCAAAGCAGTGTCTGAGCACAAGGGAGCAAAAAAGAAGTACTACTTCATAAGTGAGTAAAATATCAATTCAAGTTTTCTGGAAGCTCTGTGCTTTTTCCACTGTAAAACTGAACTTTTCATGCGACATTTAAGTAAGTAGCAAACAAAGCTGTGCTACAGCAGGACACATTCACAAATGTTGAGGTTCATTTTGGAAGACAATTTTACCGAGGCAGGACTGAAGACCTTGTCACTGTGCACTGGAAAGATTATAAAATGAAATCCTTGTTGGAAGACAGGAGGGAGCACTTGAAAACATATAAACAATGAAAAAGAATACGCTCCAACAAAAGCTGGATGTTAGTGGAGCTTTGATTTATAGCCGGCTGTTCGTTCTTTGTATACATTTTCTTTTAACCATCAGGTGTACAGATTTGTGACCAAGCCAGTCGGTGATGTGGAATTTTTCAAATCGCTATCTGTGCCGTGCCAAGGGTGTTTCAAGGTCCTCGTATTTTGTGCATAGTCAGAGTGGTTTCCGGGAGAGGAGCCAGTGGGTCAAAATAAGCAAGTAAAACACTCAAACAGACAAGGAGAACAGCCCAGAAATTTGGGGTGTATGGCTGTATCCATGAAGTTAAGCCCAGAATGGTGCATGAGAATAACTCCTTTAACTGAGCTTTAGCAGTAAGAGTAGCATTCTCATCCATATCTGAGGTCAGGTATGAGCTGTACAAACGTTATGCTTAAAAAAAAGATGAATAAAAGACACAGAGGATTATGAAGAATATGGATCGCTTGAGGCAAAAAAGTGAGAACAACTTAATGCTTTCTGCACAGTCTGACCAAATAGTTTATTTTTTGCATGCAGTCATGTTCTCACTATAATTTTGTCCCTTTCGGCAATACGCATTTGCTTATATAATTTATGTGCCCCCCACCCCCCCAAAAAACCAAACACCAAACAAGTGGAAGCGCCCCAACCCCCCAGGAGTGGAATTTCGCTGGGGTGAAAATAAGCTTCTCTTCCCTCCTTCTCCCAGTGGCTGCTCTCACGAGAAATAGGATTAAACCCTGGTCTGTTTGTATACTACCTACTTAGACATGCTAAAACAGACTTTTTACGCCGAGCTACATGACCAAATGAGCAAACGAGTGTGTGTATGTGTGTGTGTGTGCGTGTGTGTGTGTGTGTGTGTGTGTGTGTGTGTGTGTGTGTATTTGAAAGAGCATGTTGGGTTTAACCATGAAGCTGATTTAGGAGATTATTATGATTTTGCTCATTAACCTGAAATTTTCTTACATGATCCACATGGAGACCATTTAGACCGGGTTCGAATCCACTGTGAGACACCAATGTGTCCCTGAGCAAGACACTTAACCCCTTGTTGCTCCAGAGGCATGCGACCTCTGACATACTTAGCAATTGTAAGTCGCTTTGGATAAATGCGTCAGCTAAATGAATAAACGTAATGTATTATTAAATACAGTACACTAATCTAAAAAAATTCTTCTTTATTGAGTTCATATACAGCACTCTGTTAAGACAAATCCTTGCTATTCTGTCACAAGTGTTGCATCTGCCAGAAGAAAGGCTTCCCAGTGTGATTGAGACTGTCAGGATTGGTCTGGTTCAAGAGTTCAAGAGTCCACTGCAGGTTTAGAGCTAAAACGAGTCGATGATGTCGATTTCATCAACGACATGACTGACAGACATATTTGCTGTCACCAGCTTCTTAAATACGAGTATTCCTTTTTTCATTGTAACTGTGGGTGGGCACAAAATAAGACATTCGAAGATGTCACCTTTGGGGTAATTGTTATCGACATTTTTCACAATTTTCTGACATTTCATAGACAAAACAATTAATCAAAGTCAGATGAATCAATAATCAAAATAATTGTTAATTGCAGCTCTACTTAAGCTAATGCATACTGTACATATGTGACAGCCAGGTACTTCAGTACTGGTACGACTTCTCCCAGTCACCCAAATCCAAAACGCATCTTGTCTGCTGATCAATAAAGTTAATAGATGACAGCCTAAACAATAGTCAAACTAAATAAATATACTGCATTTGCTGTGTGAAATAGTGCCTCTGCTCATTTTCCTTGAAAGTTTATATTTTATTCCTGAAATGGTTTATTACATTTTTATGATGTTCAGCCAAAAAGACTTTTTGCCATCCTCCTTTAAAAAACAATTAAATACTACTTTAGATGGGCTTCTATGAGCAGCGGTGGAGTGTGTAGCACACTGGCATGTTTTCATACTATTCTAACTTCTGTTTGGGCAAGACATGCTCTTAAGGATCATCTCCAATTCAGCTTTTAGCAGAACACACACTGTTTGTGTGTAGCACTAACAACTTAGGCTGGTATGAGGGGCATCCTGGATCAGGGACCACAACTGTGTGCCTTATTCAGTGTTTTCAGCTGTTGGCCATGGGCTTGTCCGCTTGCTCAATCTGCAGCTCTGTCAGACAGGGACCAGGGCGGAGCTGTGCTGTGCGGTGCTGAATGAGGGTTTTTTAAGGTCTGTTGTGCTGCTCTGTCTGGGCAGCGAATGAGACAAAAGGGCTTGACCTTGCAGCTGGGCCAACGTACACATGATGCAATGAATTTTGCAGCCCTGAAATTATTTATAGACATGTTTGAGCTTGACTCTTATTTTCTGTTTCTCAGAGAGAGAGAGAGAGAGAGAGAGAGAGAGAGAGAGAGAGAGAGAGAGGGTGTCTGTCTATCTACAGATACTGAAACAAACACAACCAGCCATGTATAAACATTTAAGGTGAACACTGAACACTTTTATTGCCTGGAGAATTGGGGGGGGTAAAAGTTCTGGAGGTAAATTGCAGAGGAAAGACAGACAGAGGCACAGAGCATAAGTAATCACTGTGGACAGACCTGTGTTCCTCTGCTGAGAAAACAAGGATCCGTGACTCCCCCTGAAGCAACCTGCCAATGTGTTTTATTGGTCTCATTTGTTGCCTTACATCTCTGTCTCTCTCAGACTACTCTTGCTCACGCTTCCTGCCCTCGGCCTCACCCTATCCTTCAACGTATCTTTCTCTATCTCCATTCACCTCACTTTCTCTCCCTCCATCACCTTCCCTTCCTCCTTCACTCACACAAGACGATATCTAACCCCCTCTCGCCATCCATCACTCTCACATCCCGTAATTCGCCCCGTGTCTCTGCGAGCGCACACACAGGAAGCTCATTATGAAACATTTCAGTGCCGAGCATCACCTGTGGGGCCTATCCTGTTGGACACCTGCGCTGTCAAGTAAAGCTTTCCAAGTCTTATTTCTCCCCTCCTTTCATTAGCAAGTGATGAATAACAGCCAGAGTAATAGAAGTCGAGGCTTTGAATAAAGCAAGGCTATAAACTGAGGCATACGGCAACATATTGCACGGGGAATCACTGGGATGAGAAGGCACTCCTGTGAAAATCAACAGGACCCAAAAACATAAGGAGAGTGAGAGTCTTGTGAGAATGCAGGGAACAGGAGGACACCCGTATATTCCTGGAAGGAATATGAATGAACTACTGGAGCAAGCACACAACTGTCAAACTCTCCTTCTTTCTGTTTATTCCTGAAAGAAGCCATCTACCCTTTCTCTTACTCTCAAGCAGAGGAGGTAAAACCAGCTAATTGCCTGAGGCTTCAAAGAACAGGCACGGGTGGCAGGTGTCACCACAAGGTCATAAAGAGGGAGAGAGACGGGTAGATTGTGTCACGTAACTCTAAAACTGAAGGGCATGATGTAAACCTATAGTATCAGTCACGTCTTTCTATGCTGATGATTTCATTAAAAGAACATTTTGGAACAGAGCTTTCACTTAAAGCTTAAATGTCTTGCAGTCATGTCAGTGGGATTAAACCTGTGATATTTTCCTTTCTAATGTAAAACACCCTGCCACCATCAAGGTACAAAAAGTCTTTCCACCACCTGATTACCTAAATAGCTTTGGTGTCGCCTTTGGAGTCATATCACAGACGTGCAGCACAGCGACCAGTTGATTGACTGCAATAAACTCCCATTCAGAAACATCAGCGAGGACCTTGAAGGAATGAGAAATGTGTCTTTTCCTTTCCAAAAAACCAAGAGGAAAATCCCTCATGGGCTAGAGCTGATGGCTCTACAACACATTGTTACTTCTTCCCTTTGCTTGCCTTTTCATTTCATTCTCCTCTCCTCCCATATGCC